CTCCCCTCAACCCTTTCTACCTCATTCTCTTGTTACCCTCTACCCCTGCACTATCCACTGCCCTACTGTTCTCCATAACCTACTAATCATCCCTCTCCCTTTTGCCACCTGGTACCCCCGCTTCCTTCTTGCCCTGCAGCGCTGTATAGCCCTTTTGGTGTAGTGCTTCTTTTTTTATTATAATAATAATAATTTTCCCGATCATAATGACACCAAAAGCATGAAATTTTATGGAAAACTTATGGAGTTATGCTCTTGCAGTCTCGACGGTGTTTACGCATCGGCGATTTTGCCCACTTTGAGCCTTATTTTCCGCTAATTCCAATATACCAGTCAACAAAAATTATAACTATCTCGCTAGAACTCCATTTTTTCTATCGGATGAATACAAGAAACCACCCATTTACCGATTTCAACTATTCAATAAAGTGGTCAGAAATTAGCAATTTTGCCAATTTCACACAAATTTCAAAAGATGCCAGTTTCCAAATAGGGTCTAGAATAAACAAGACAGACATTCCTGGCACTAAAATAAAAATTTTTCTGTTCATTAGTCATGTCTCCAGGCCTCTTTTACATTTCTTGTGCTTTCCACTTTGAATTTTTATTCTCACAAAAAAAAAAAGATTTACTGCTATGCAGACTACTGCATTAATGTAGAAATGGTATAAATAATATCAACGCACTTGTGAAAGAATATCAGACTCACCAGTTGACGTGTATTGGACACGTGGCATGATTTGTTTACTTTTGAACTTTGGCAATAATAAAAACATTTCTGCTACTTTGAGCTCAATTTCAAGGTACTTTTCATTGTGAAACCAATCAAAATCATCTCAATTTCTGTAATATGTCTTCCATTCTATAAAATGAGACCAGGAAAACTAGAATACAACCATAAATACGCATACGAAAATACACTGCAAGGTCGCTGCTTTAAAGCAAAAACACGGTTGGAGTTTTTTTTCTCATTATGCACTGTTTACTGCAGGATTTTTTTTATATTGTGCACACTGACCACATAGACCCATTCTTTCATATGTAGGCCTACCAACTTTCTCTCACTAGATTTGAAGGCGCTAGAATTTATGAATACTAGTACGGCACCAACCCTGGCATGCAAGCCATACTAGTATGGCACTAACCCTGAAAGGGTTAAAAGTAACACTTTCTCAGTCTTTTTTTTTATTGTAACTTTCTTAACCATTTCCATTATTGTATTTTAGTAAAACATGAACCATCAAAAATGACAAAAAGATTTTTCCAAGTGTACCTGATTAGAGTTGCTGATTATGTACATATATTAAGGGGTTCTGATTAAAGTAAGGGCTATTTCTACAGCATAATATATGTATTACAGTAAACCCTCTTATAACATGCTGTCATACATCTCAATTGTATAGCAGCACAACTCAAAAAAGGGCAACCAAAAATTTTAATACGTACTATGCTTCATAAATCTAAAACAATTAAGTAATGCAAAATTTGGGTAATATACTGTAGTACTTCAGATTTTTTTTTCCCATCTACAGGTCGGCCATCACTAATCCGGCAATCAGTTATCCGATTCCATCAGTAATCAAGCACTAATTTCGGCTAGCATAATTTCAAATTTCATCATCATACTGACTCAAATCTCATCATTATACTAACTCAGAAATAGTGCAGATGGTTGTAAATCCACAGCAACAAGCCAGTGGAGGAGAAAACAATGATGAAATTGAGGAAGATATAGCAGAAAGAATCCCTATTGATAGGTTAATTCAGTTGACAGGTGAACTGCTAAAAGGTCTAGAGCAATGCAGTTCTATAAGTGAACAAGAAACAATGAACGTTTACATGCTACAGGACAAATTAATCAAAGGCCAAAATATAAGTGTATTCTAACCTAACCACTCTGTAATCCAGCAAAACTCACTAATCTGGCACACTACAGGTCCCAATGATGCCAGATTAGTGATAGCGACCTGTACTTGCCAAATGGCTGCGAACTATGTAGCCTCCCACTGTTTTTACTAAGAGAGAGAGTAATATTAATTAGATAGCATTGTTCTTCACCTAATTCTTCTCTACCTAACTTATCAAAGCCATATAGCATGAAATAATACAATATTCAGTTTTCTTGTACTCATTGTAACTCGCCTAATGACCATAAGTTCAAATTGCAGCACTGTTATTGCCTTATTAATCTTAAATTATTCTTGCGTTTGCCTGAAATGCTCTGCATATAAAGGGGCTTTTGGCATGTTCACCAAATTGTTACACTCCTATGTACAAACATGTATCATGCTAATATAAAAATATTATTATTATTATAACTAATGTTTTTCAAATTATATTACCTTTAAAACTCTTAATTTATATAAAACACTGCATAAAAAAAGTTTGAAGAGAATATTCAGCATGCATTAAGATAAATCATGAACAAAAATTCAAGATCATGCATTATATCTTGTGAAGAGAGGTGCTTTGATGCCAGGCCAGTGAACGACTCTTGATACATAGGTTAACATCTATCTTCCTCTTGTTTGGCTTGAACCTGATTCTCTCTCATTCCTCAGATGTTTTATGAATCCTACTGATTTATTGCTTCCCCAATTATAATAGTGTGATAGTATTGTAATTACACATTCCTGTGTCTTTTACAATGATGTGTCTCCCTATATTTCTACAATTGATGAGCATGTTGACATAATATTATTGTGAAAATATTTCTAAATAACCTATCTGTATAGTGGACAGGGGCAGCTCCAGAATTTCTATATAGGAGCAGCTTAGGGGACTTGCATTATTATTATTATTATTATTTTGGAGGTTTTGGGGGCTGGAGATCATGGAAGCTTCTGCCTACCTTTGGTGGTGCCACCAGTAGTGAAGGTTCTGTGTGTGTGTCTTCAATGAAGTGCAGCCATTAAAGTCGCTGACTGCGGAAACACATCACACATTCTACAACTTGCTAGGCAGGCAAAATAGTGTTTATTTGGCTGTCTAGTAAACTGAGGCAAAATGTATGGGAAAGTCTCCTTCCAGCTGCTGTCCAGTGGAACCAGGCATTCACTAACTCTGGCTTTGCCCTGGCTAAAGTGTATGGTGTAGCCAACTCCTTCCTTACTTTCTCCTCCATTAAACAAGATGTTGTTATCTGCCACCCATTCAGATCATACAAAATAAAAGCTGTGCACAATTCAGATATGTAATGAAGAATTAAAGAAATCTGTGATTTCACCAGTAATGTTGGAAGTTCAGGGCAGGGTCAGTTGCTAACCTACAGGACATAGCTTCCTCTTCCACTGTATTATTGTATTTTTCTTGATTATTGCTTTTAAGCTGTATTTACCATTCATATATACTTGATATAGGTGTAGTGAGTTCTTACCTGTTTGGTGTAAGTTGGTAAGTTAATTTGGCTTTCATTTTTATGGTGGTGACATGTACTGAGGGGCCTGGCTAATACTACCTTCCACATTTTTTATCACCTTTCCTTTGTTTTAGTTTTATAAAATGCATTTATCTTTGCTATATCTTTGGTATTAAGTGTAGTAAGTTCCTATCTGGCTGATATAAGTGGGAATGTGGCTTTTGTGACAATGTTTTCATGTACCAAGTGTGTCATCAGATCAACTTCAGTTAAGATAAGATAAGATAAGATTTCGTTCGGATTTTTAACCCCGGAGGGTTAGCCACCCAGGATAACCCAAGAAAGTCAGTGCGTCATCGAGGACTGTCTAACTTATTTCCATTGGGGTCCTTAATCTTGTCCCCCAGGATGCGACCCACACCAGTCGACTAACACCCAGGTACCTATTTGCTGCTAGGTGAACAGGACAACAGGTGTAAGGAAACGTGTCGGAATGTTTCCACCCGCCGGGAATCGAACCCGGGCCCTCCGTGTGTGAAGCGGGAGCTTTAGCCACCAGGCCACCAGGGCAGTAGGCCCACATTAACCCTCTCCACTCTCTCCAAAAGCTTCAAAGTAACGACTAACAGAACAGGAGACAAGTTACAGTGCAGTAATTTTTACCTGATACAATAGTTAAAAAAAGTGATTAGCAAATATGGAGGTGGCTGGAACATAATCATATCCTATTTACATAATGCACTGATTTTCAGGAACACAACCAGCACAGCATAAAAGTTTTTGTTTTATTTATTTTACAAAGTCATGTTACAAATCAAAACATACTGACAATGTAAATCTCAAAAGTTACATAGTATGAAAGCATATCTTGACAAATTATGGTATATTCTCGATATTTAATAAACAGCTCTGCATTCTGATTCATACAAGTAAACTTATGTATGCAAAAATTAATTTGGTTATACTGTACTTTATTGTATACCTAGACATTTTGAAATACACTTTTATTCCCTGGTTACCTTCAAACTGGCAAAAGCTCTAATAAAATGCTTCATAAAATAATATGGGGAGAGAGAGAGACAGAGAGAGATATCATTTGTACAGCATAATGATGTCAACGAGATAAAGTCAGTTGATCAAATGAAAATGCTGGCACACAGATGGCTCCAACCTCATCCTGTTCCCTACTTGTATGTCTCATAATAATAATAAAAAATGCTTTCAAATGAGCTGATGTAGGTAACAGCTCTTAGCTTGCCAATAAAGCTAGGGATCCTTAACCTTGTCAAACCCTGTGTAAAAAAAAATTAAAAGAGAGAGAGAGAGAGAGAGAGATAGACAGATAGACAGACAGACAGAGACACAGAGACAGATAGGGTAGGAGGGGTAAAAACGGATGTGGAAAAACAGGAAAAAAAAAACAAAATAAATTAGAAAAACAGAAGATATACAAAAAAAAAAATTATGAGCACAGTATAATACAGGAGGTAAAAAAAAAAAAAAGGAAAACATACACAACCCCAAAGATATAGCAGTATATGTAGAAGCAAAAGGAAACAAGAAAAATAAAACACCAAAAATACCTAAGGCAGAAAAGATGCAGAATAGGAAAAAGAAAATAGCACAGCATCACACATCCCACCTTGAACCTGAAGAGTGCGATACCAGTGATGAGGATGTAAAAGTCGGCCGTGAAGAGGGCCAGGTTGAGGGCAGTTGCTGAGGTGACACGGATGACAGCAGGAGCTACAACGTAGAAGAGGAACTGAGCAGCACTGAAGCCACCTACCAGCGCCAGCACTGGCCATGTGTCCCACCGTACAGATCCTACATCGTTACGCTCTAGTATTGCTCTGCCAGTGGGGGAAGTTTCTGTAAGTGGCACTAGTAAGGCTATGATAATATATAATATTTACTGGAGCTCTGTTAGAAGTCTCGAGTACTGATGAACCATCCCTACAGGTCGTGGTGCATTTAAAATTTGATTACCACTAAATTATGCCTATATAATGAACTTTGTTTCATATTTAAGCTCATTTTTATGTTTCAGATGTTTATTTCTTTAAATATCAACCTAATCCAGTTAATGTAGAGATTCATAAGAAAAATTTTTACAAAGAAAATGAGGATTTGTTGTGAAAACTAAACTGAGAGTATTTTGGCTTCAATTCCATTTTTGTCTGTAGTTTTCAAATTGGAGATTTTTTTTTGCCACAACGAAAAATCACTGCAAAAACTTGGGAACATTTCCCTTACAATATTTGTAACTTTTAATACAGCATATACTGTATGCACTGATTAAATAACAAAAAAACTTATGATTATAAAAGATAACTGAAATACTATATATGCAGTACTACAAAGTGAAGAGTGAAGGTGATACACACAACTGTATGCCGTTGATGAGAGAGCCAAAGAGCCCCATCATGCCAAGGAACTCCACACTATCGTAGGTCTTTACCACATACTCCTGTGCCACATTGCTGATGCCATAGAGCGTCGCCCCGCCCAAACATAGCATGTCACCTAACAACCGCTCAGCTCCTGCCAAGGCACCATGATTATATACATAGAATATTTATTAATAAACAAACATAATTTATATTAGAAATATTGTTTGCCTTGAATTAGTCTGTGCGAAGACACACATGCACACATTAAGACATTTAATAATGCTAATGAAGTCATTCATGGCAAAAAGTTATTATTAAATGATTATTACTAAATGTATTAATCTTTGCCTAAGTTTCATTCCAGTGTGTAATGACAATAAGAGGAGAGAGAGCCCCCTACCGGGTATGGCAGCTTTGCCATCCTCCACGTTGGCCCAGACGAGGCAGCCAACACCCAGCAGACAGAGGCCAACACCCAGGACGTGGACCAGCTTATAGCGGACTTTGAGGAAAAGCCAGCTCAGTGCCAGCACCACTGGCACCACGAAGCAGTCTAACAGCTGCTCAACCAGAAAAGTTTGGTATCAATGAAAACAAACCAGAAACTTAAAATTCACAAATAAATCTAACTCGTAAGTTTCCTCTCCTAAATTTGTAAGTTATCTGTGAATACCAGAAATTCTGGGTACAAATCCTAAATCTGCTTGTTAAAGATGAAAAAATGACTAATTTGTAAATATAACAACCATATTTAGTACAGTATAAACACCGTCCTTCAGTTCACCCAGAGACACAGCTACACCTGGGAATATACACTTTCCTATATAGGAGAGAGGTAATTAATTCAGAATATCCAGGGATGGGATGGCAGCTTCTTGAATTGGATTCAGCTAATGACCTGATTGGATAATTAACTGATCAGTCACACACACACACACACACACACACACACACACACACACAGGATGAGCCCATGGGTCACCCAAAGGTGAAGGGAGGCAAAAACCAAGTGTGCTAGGGAATGGAAGAAATATAGAAGGCAAAGGACCCAGGAGAATAAAAAGAGCAGTCGTAGATCCAGAAATGAGTATGCAGAGATAAGAAGGGAGGCCCAACGACAATATGAAAACGACATAGCAGCGAAAGCCAAATCTGACCCGAAGCTGCTATACAGCCACATCAGGAGGAAAACAACAGTCAAGGACCAGGTAATCAGGCTAAGGAAGGAGGAGAGACAACAAGAAATGACCATGAAGTATGTAAGGAACTCAAGAGATTCAAAGTGTTCACAGAGGAGACAGAAGGGGCTCCAGCAAGACGGAGAGGTGGGGCACACCACCAAGTGCTGGACACAGTACACACAACCGAGGAAGAAGTGAAGAGGCTTCTGAGTGAGCAAGATACCTCAAAGGCAATGGGGCTGGATAACATCTCTCCATGGGTCGTAAGAGAGGGAGCAGAGGCGCTATGTGTACCTCTAACAACAATATTCAATACATCTATCAAAACAGGGAGACTGCCTGAGGCATGGAAGACAGCAAATGTAGTCCCAATCTTTAAAAAAGGAGACAAACATGAAGCACTAAACTACAGACCAGTGTCACTGACATGTATAGTATGCAAAGTCATGGAGAAGATTATCAGGAGAAGAGTGGTGGAACACTTAGAAAGGAATGATCTCATCAACAGCAGCCAACATGGTTTCAGGGACGGGAAATCCTGTGTCGCAAGCCTACTGGAGTTCTATGACATGGTGACAGCAATAAGACAAGAGAGAGAAGGGTGGGTGGATTGCATTTTCTTGGACTGCAAGAAGGCGTTTGACAAAGTTCCACCCAAGAGATTAGTGCAAAAACTAGAGGACCAAGAAGGGATAACAGGGAAGGCACTACAATGGATCAGGGAATACTTGTCAGGAAACAGCAGCGAGTCATGGTACGTGGAGAGGTGTCAGAGTGGGCATCTGTGATGAGCGGGGTCCCACAGGGGTCAGTCCTAGGACCAGTGCTGTTTCTGGCATTAGCGAACAACATGACGGAAGGAATAGACTCCGAAGTGTCCCTGTTTGCAGATGACATGAAGTTGATGAGAAGAATTCACTCGATCTAAGACCAGGCAGAACTACAAAGGGATCTGGACAGGCTGCAGACCTGGTCCAGCAATTGGCTCCTGGAGTTCAACCCCACCAAGTGCAAAGTCATGAAGATTGGGGAAGGGCAAAGAAGACCGCAGATGGAGTACAGTCCAGGGGGCCAGAGACTACAAACCTCACTCAAAGAAAGAGATCTTGAGGTGAGTATAACACCAGGCACATCTGAAGCGCACATCAACCAAATAACTGCTGCAGCATATGGGCACCTAGAAAACCTCAGAACAGCATTCTGACATCTTAATAAGGAATCATTCAGGACCCTGTATACCGTGTACGTTAGGCCCATATTGGAGTATGCGGCACCAGTTTGGAACCCACACCTAGCCAAGCATGTAAAGAAACTAGAGAAAGTGCAAAGGTTTGCAACAAGACTAGTCCCAGAGCTAAGAGGTATGTCCTACGAGGAGAGGTTAAGGGAAATCAACCTGATGAAACTGGAGGACAGGAGAGATAGGGGGGACATGATAACGACATACAAAATACTGAGAGGAATTGACAAGGTGGACAAAGACAAGATGTTCCAGAGATGGGACACAGCAACAAGGGGACACAGTTGGAAGTTGAAGACACAGATGAATCACAGGGATGTTAGGAAGTATTTCTCCAGCCACAGAGTAGTCAGGAAGCAGAATAGTCTGGGAAGCGATGTAGTGGAGGCAGGATCCATACATAGCTTTAAGCAGAGGTATGATAAAGCTCACGGTTCAGGGAGAGTGACCTAGTAGCGACCAGTGAAGAGGCGGGGCTAGGAGCTTGGACTCGACCCCTGCAACCTCAACTAGGTGAGTACAACTAGGTGAGTACACACAGGTGATCAGATAATCAGGCTGAGGAAAGAAGATGGGGAACTCACAAGAAATGATCAAGAGGTATGAGAGGAGCTCAACACGAGATTTAAGGAAGTATTCACAGTGGAGACAGGACAGAGGGGGGACACCTACAGGGAATACACCAACAAGTGCTGGATGACATGCACACAACTGAGGAGGAGGTGAAGAAGCTGGTAAGTGACCTTGATACCTCAAAGGCAATGGGACCAGACATCTCCCCATGGGTCCTCAGGGAGGGAGCAGATATACTGTGTGTGCCATTAACCATGATCTTCAACACATCCCTTGAAACAGGACAACTACCTGAGGTACGGAAGACCGCAAATGTAGTTCCCATTTTTAAAAAAGGAGACAGAAAAGAGGCACAAAATTACAGACCAATGTCACTGACGTGTATAGTATGCAAAGTCGTGGAGAAGATTATCAGGAGGAGAGTGGTGGAGCACCTGGAATGAAACAAGATTATAAACGATAACTAGCACAGATTCATGGAAGGCAAATCCTGTGTCACAAACCTTATGGAGTTTTATGACAAAGTTACAGAAGTAAGACACGAGAGAGAGGAGTGGGTCGATTGCATTTTCTTGGACTGCAAGAAGGCCTTCGACACAGTTCCTCACAAGAGATTAGTGCAGAAACTAGAGGATCAGGTGTGTATAACAGGAAGGGCACTGCAATGGATCAGAGAATACCTGACAGGGAGACAACAACAAGTCATGGTATTGGATGAGGTACCACATTGGGCACCTGTGACGAGTGGGGTCCCACAGGGGTCGGTCCTAGGACCAGTGCTATTTTTGGTATATGTGAATGACATGATGGAAGGGATAGACTCAGAGGTGTCCCTGTTCACAGATGATGTGAAGTTAATGAGGAGAATTAAATCAGATGAGGATCAGGCAGGACTTCAAAGAGACCTGGACAGGCTGGACATGTGGTCCAACAACTGGCTTCTTGAATTCAACCCTGCCAAATGCAAAGTCATGAAGATCGGAGAAGGGCAAAGAAGACCGCAGACAGAGTATAGGCTAGGTGGCCAAAGACTGCAAATCTCGCTCAAGGAGAAAGATCTTGGGGTGACCATAACACCGAGCATGTCTCTGGAGGCACACATCAACCAGATAACTGCTGCAGCATATGGGCGCCTGGCAAACCTGAGAATAGCATTCCGATACCTTAGTAAGGAATCGTTCAAGACACTGTACACTGTGTACATCAGGCCCATACTGGAGTATGCAGCACCAGTTTGGAACCCACACCTGGTCAAGCACATCAAGAAATTAGAGAAAGTGCAAAGGTTTGCAACAAGGCTAGTTCTGGAGCTCAGGGGTATGTCCTATGAAGAAAGGTTGAGGGAAATCGGATTGACGACACCGGAGGACAGGAGGGTCAGGGGAGACATGATAACGACATACAAAATACTGCTTGGCATAGATAAGGTGGACAGACAGGTTGTTCCAGAGAGGGGACACAGAAACAAGGGGTCACAATTTGAAGCTGAAGACTCAGACGAGTCACAGAGATGTTAGGAAGTATTTCTTCAGTCAAAGAGTCGTCAGGAAGTGGAGTAACCTAGCAAGTGATGTAGTGGAGGCAGGAACCATACATAGCTTTAAGACGAGGTATGACAGAGCTCAGGAAGCAGAGGACCTAGTAATGATCAGTGAAGAGGCAGGGCCAGGAGCTGAGTCTCGACCCCTGCAACCACAATTAGGTGAGTACACACATACACACACACCTCATTAAATAGAATGACAAATTTTGAATCCATGGCCTAACAAAATTACTATCAAACCCCATCCGTGGTATGGTTTGTTTGCAATCATGTCATTGTGATTTCGTGAGTCAGTTAATTACTATTATTATAATCAAAACTAAGCACTAGCAAACCTAAAATTACTGTCCCAGCACTATATTGCTGAGCTACACTGCAGGTTCAAATCTTCTCACACCATTTAAATTGTTACATTAGTGTGGAAACTTATTCGGTCCTAAAGTTCCACAAGGCAAATACGTAGTATGAAGGCCCTAATATTCCACGGAAAGGCCGTCTGAGTTCTGCGGACCCTCACATCTACCCAAAACACATACATACACCCGGGTTGGCGAAGGTGGTTGGAAGGTACATTTTAATTGATAGACTGACCCTTCAAGGAAGAGGTTGGTAGTTTATACTGTTAGTACACTAATATTATTATTGATAAATTAGACACATGTGCAACTCTTGGGTATCTTTATTGAGGAAACGTTTCGCCACACAGTGGCTTCATCAATCCATACGTAGGAGAAACTTGAAGAACAGGAGAAGAATGAGGTAATCAGTCCCTCAACCTTGAGTCGATGTGTTCAGTCCATCAATCTTGAATAGAATACGGCATATCAGCGGAGAAGCAGCTTATAAACCGTATGGCAGGAGAGGTGCAGCAGTCATAGGTGGTGTCACATTTGTTCAATGTGGAAGTAGGTCGTGCCCAAGAATTAGGCAAGCGAAGAATTCCTAAGTATTAAGATCCCAAGAAGTTGCAGTGTCTGACAGATTTGTAGATGAATGGTTCAGAGAACCGACATGTTGATAAATTAGACACATGTGCAACTCTTGGGTATCTTTATTGAGGAAACGTTTCGCCACACAGTGGCTTCATCAGACCATACGTAGGAGAAACTTGAAGAACAGGAGAAGAATGAGGTAATCAGTCCCTCAACCTTGAGTTTCTCCTACGTATGGACTGATGAAGCCACTGTGTGGCGAAACGTTTCCTCAATAAAGATACCCAAGAGTTGCACATGTGTCTAATTTATCAACATGTCGGTTCTCTGAACCATTCATCTACAAATATTATTATTATTGAGGCAACTGTAGATAATAATGTAGTCCTAAGACCTTAATGTTGGTAGGAATAAGGTCTTATCTAGGCAAACACTAGGTTATATTAGATAGGGAGAACTTGCA